ATATATATATACACGTATGTATATATATATATACATACATATAAATATATACATATATATATATATATATATATGTATATTTGTATATATATATATATAAATATAAATATATATATATATGTATACATATATAAATATATATATATGTATACATATATACATATATACATATATTTTATAGGTATAAATAAATATATAAATATAGATATATATACCTTTAACTCTCCGCCCAAGCTTGCCCGCCACAGGAAAGTGCCATCGGTGGTAGTCCTGAGGCGCTAATCGGGCTATACACATGGAGCCTCCATCGAACTGTGCACAAGATAATGAAGAACATAATTGCACCGTAAGTATAGTCAACCTGAAGTAGAGAAACCGTTCATCTCAATCTCACCACAGTGTCTCCGGTGCACGCCTTATACCAGTGATATATCATTCACGTGATATCTGTAACATAACCCGGACATATGCCAATCGGAGACGAGAAGTATTCCCAGATCTGGCGCAGGCCTGCAAGCATGCCAAAACCCTATCGATTGTATAAAACAGCCCAGCGCGCAAAGAAACCACTGCAGTCGGAATAGTCACGTGTACATATAGACTTTGTTCCTCCAGACGTTCCATGAAAGCATGCACATATTCGATTGGAGTGGCCCACCAAGCGTACGTGCCACGTACGATGTAGCAAGCTAGCATGGGATAGTCGCAAATACTCTATTGAATCCACCCAATGTCTACATCCCCTTGAACACACCTTCGGAAACACATCTGAGAATGCCTCCGTGAGCACAGTCGCCACGGAGAAGTTTCTGCCCTTGACCCACAGGTTTGTAGCTGAAGCAAAATAAGTTAGAGTTGGATGATATGAGTGTGTTTCGAATAGGATCGAATGGCAGCTGAGTATTTGAGGCATAGTCACGTAATGTACCTTTTCCATGCATATTTACGCACACACACACACACACATATATATATTTATATATATATTATATTTAAATTTAAATGTATATATTAATATAATAATATATAATAATAATATATATATATATACATACATCTATATAATAATATATATATAATAATAATATAATAATATATATACATATATACAGTTCGAAATATGTCTGGAAAGGAAAGAACAAGGCTCTGTGCCCTTATCCACATTGGCTCTGAGCCAATGTGGATAAGCGATATACAAAGAGACGATATATATATATATTAATATATATTAATATACACACACACGCACACACACACACACACATATATATATACATACATATATACATATATTCTTGTTATGAACGATCACGACACTAACGCACTCACCCCTATCAATAGTATCGAAGGCCATCAATCGACAATCGGCGGGAGACACCAAGACACTGTCATCGTCCGATGATGCAAGAGGCCGCGCCCCAGGTTTTAATTTGCGGTAGAAAAACTCGTTGAAGTTCGGATAATTTGTGCACTCTGTGTCCAGCGGAAGGAGCAGCTCATCTACATCCAGCTGCAATCAAGCACAGACAACGGCGGTCAACTCAGTAGCATAGATTCACAGGCACAACTAACCAGGGCATGTGAGACGCATAGGTCTAGTCAAACCAACAATAAAACAACAGTGAGCCGGTAATGGATCAGGAATATTTCAGTCGAGTATCCTGTGTGTGCCCAGGGCGCATGCACCAGCAACGTGCAGCACAGCAGCAGTTTCAGAGCACAGCACTACATCGCGGCGGTGTGGGCGGGCTACCTAGACCGAGATTGGGCGTGTTATACGAATCGGGCTGTATGACATCCGAACAACACAACACAACGATCCACACAACGATGAGTCCTCATGTATTGGATCGATACTGACTGGCTAATTACGTATATCGTGAACATGTATACTATTGGGACTTGATGCCAAACTCGGGTAGATTAATTCATCATAGGCCTTACACGCAACAAAACCACCTTAACAGGCATACCTAACCCCCTAAAACCCAAAAGGCACTATAATAAAACGACCTCCAACTGACCGAATACGATGTACTATGCAGGACGTGCTTTTAGAAGCGCTTGGCATCGCATACCACTACATACGCTGTGTTGTGCGACGAATGAGTGGATCTTCTTCTTGGAGTGCGGATGGTCCATTTTGCGGCCCTCCTTCTCCGACATGGACTTGAGCAGGTTGTTGACTCGCTTGCGGTACACCAACTTCTTTCCCAGTCCATCTCTGTACATCAGATTTAGGGCTAAAATTTGGAAACCGTACTATTAGTAGTGAGAATTCAAGACTTGCATCTATCCGTATGCCGCTGTACTTCCCCAGTGTACGCTTGCGCTATAAGCAGCACGAAGGTTGCATATGAACGAGAATCGACTGATGAGTAGAAGAGCGACTCCTTCCAAATGTGAAGTGTGCGCTCTCTGGGACTGGCCCGTGTCCGACTTGTTAATCCAGACAGTGTCTACTGTCACAGAGATCGAACGAAGGCATATAACTACAGTGTGTAAGCCTGAGCTATACTGTTGTGTGTAAGCCTGAGCTATACTGTTGTGTGTAAGCCTGAGCTATACTGTTGTGTGTAAGCCTGAGCTATCCTGTTGTGTGTAAGTCTGAGCTATACTGTTGTGTGTAAGCCTGAGCTATACTGTTGTGTGTAAGCCTGAGCTATACTGTTGTGTGTAAGCCTGAGCTATACTGTTGTGTGTAAGCCTGAGCTATACTGTTGTGTGTAAGCCTGAGCTATACTGTTGTGTGTAAGCCTGAGCTATACTGTTGCTGCTGCAGCGGTCCCCGGACAGCCGGGCTAAAGACGATATAAAGTACGCGTACTGCGAATCAAAGTGTACACATACCCATCTTCACAAACTTAGGCACGTGCTCTTCCATCAGCAAGCCCGTCTTTCGATCCTGGATCATCAGCAATCCCGTTTTGATGGAGTCTCCTGTGAGATATTTAATGCACGAGCCGTCCATGAGATCATATTTCTAATTAGACACAGATGAGTTCGTTCCATATGTAGAGTCCGTGTAGAGTCCATTTCGTATACATAGTGGTACTTGACAACTTTTAACAGTGTGTCCCTAGGCTCTGGTAGAGTAAAGAAGCACCAGATGTTGACAATCAACAGAGCAGACAGTCGAGTTAAACTGGCCGCAAAGCGAAGTTGTTCCGGTAATAAGACAGGTATAGATCAGTACCACGATCACTAAGGCCAAAAACTATGCCCCAGGCCGACCTCTTCTACTATGTGAGATACAAGTATTCTAACCAACCAAAACCAACGTCCTTATCCGGCACATAGGACTAACGACTAAAGACAAGTTTTAAGTTGCAACCCCAGAGCAATTCGTACGAGAGAGTACAGGCGATATATGCTGGATCTAATCAGAACCCAACCAGCCAAACCAAGCAGCAACACGTGTGACGTAGAGATACACCCATTTTTAGCTGGTGTATAGATCACATACCATCCTGTACAGCGAGCAAACTTTTGTTCTTCTTCCCACCGAGTGTGGCGACATTGGAATATGAACTGCTTATGAGCTGATCTAAACCCAATTGACCTGTGTGTTAAATGTCACAACAGCGATTAAACCAAAGCACTAACTGTCGTCTGACACCCCTTACTATGTAACCATAATGGCGAACAGATATAGGGTTTAGGGTTTTAGCCGGGGGGTGGTGGGCTGTGGCGGTGCACCGCAAAACTCACATGCACAGATATTATTAAGGAACTATATATATATATATATATATATATATATATATATATATATAATTCATTAAATATATATATATATATATAGATATGTATGCTTCTGGCATTTTGCAGATATATCAACATCAAACAATTAATGGGCTACAGGCCTTTTAAGTTTCCTGGTTAATTTTTTCGCCGGATGAAAACACGGATATCCCAGTGGTTTCATGTCTATAATTCCGCACATCTATACCAACACCATTTCAATCCGATGCGAGCCTACCAAGCCAATCGCAAAAGGCAAATACAGGACCATACACTATATCCTCAAGCCAATCGTATAACGCAAAAACAGTAACATACACTATATGCTCAGGCCAGACGGCCGTTCCACAGCAAGTAAACCACAAGTAGTGAAGTTAACTAAGTAGTGTACTACATACCATCGGCCAAGAAGGAGAGCAGCGAGTACGTCATCGGACGACACGAGAACGCCGGAGATCGCAGATACCTATGATATTGCAAGTGATGGAAAAAATGTCGTAAATAATGTAGCATAGGATAGCAGATCCATGAAGGTCTTTAGCAGTTATAGTTCAACGTATAGGCCATTTCACTAGAGCAGCCGTGCCAACCAAATGATCTTTGAATCGGCTAGAGGTTCATTCTTGTTTGGTCAAAAATTGAAGTGGTCTATCCATCTATGCGGCCCAACGACAGCTTTCTAAAAATAGCTCACATGCCGCCAATTCATTGACAATCAACAACTCAAAATCTTAATTAGTTGTGAATTAGTTCGTAGTTCAACGAGCAATAATTGCAAGACGGACATGATGGTGATTCATGTAGGTACATACGTCATCAACTCGTCCTTGTCCAGAGTGCCGTTTCTGTCGAGATCCAAATCTTTGAAGATCCGCTCAATATTGTCAATCGGCTGATCGATGGCTGTGAACAAAGTAGAAGCACAAGTCATTCGCTAATAAGATATACACGCCAATTCCAGCTGTTAGTTTAGTGAACAAAGTAGAAGCACAAGCCATTCGCTAAGAAGATGTACACGCCCCTTCCAGCTATTTGTTTAGATCAGACTTTTGCTCTTCTATATAGCATAGCCAATCCTCGGCCAATAAGTGCTGTGTCAGGCCCTAAACCCTAAACCCTAACATCAAAAGGTGATATGAAAGGTTCTAACCCTCAACGCGTCAATCTTAAAATGTGTTACTTAAAGACGTATACATACGAATTAAAAGACAAAACACTACACCCAGAGCGACATCTCCAAAGCAGAACGGATGAGGGGGGGAAAGGGTGAAGAATTTATCAAGGAAACATTGATGATGTCTCAGACAGCCATCCCAGTCTACTTTGGCGAGGTATCAACAGGGTGAATTACTTACACTCACATATGTGCGTATATACATATGTACAGTACACACACACACACACATATATATATATATATATATACATATATATATGTATATATATATATCTATATATATATTATATATATATATATATATATATATGTATATATGTATATTATATACATATACAATTATATATATGTAATTGTATACTGATATAAATATACATATACATATATATATATACGCACACACACACAAACACACATAAATAAATGAA